TGGTTAAATGGAGATAAAAGTCTCACAGACTTTTCTGCCAAGGATGGCTTCAAACTGAAATCCTCAGATCTCAGCCTCCTGAGTAGCTAAAATTATAGGCGTGAGCTACCAGTGCCTCGCTAATTTTTGTAAAAAGATATGTCTTATTTGAGATCTAGCATGCATGAGGCCCTGGGTTCCCATCTCCAGCAACACAAAATTTTTCTTAAAAAAATAAGAACATGCATTACATGTACAATCAACAAAAGTGAAAATATTTGTGCCAAACAAGATCTGATAGGAATCTACCCAGAATAATGTAAAACCAGGTACAGTAAAAACAAACAAAAAAAACCCACTTGCATATCCATGTTCTTTGCCATAGTAGTTGTGATAGCTAAGTTATGGAAACAGCCCAGATACTCTACTACAGATGAGTGGATCAATATTCAGTGAAATTTTACTCATCTATTCCAATGAAGAATATTATTACATTTTCAGGGAAAAGTATGGGCCTAGAAAACAACTATGTTAAGTGAAATAAGCCAGGCTCAAAGGGACAAATGGTGCATATTTTCTCTCATATGTGGAAGCTAGATCTAAACTACAAGCATATACATGATAATGTATACAGGGTTTTATGCATATACACACAAACTGACTAAAGGTTGGCATGCATACTTAGGGAGGAGTCCAAAGGTGTAATTCCTCTGAACAACTAAGGGACTGCTTAAAAAATGAGTAACAGTGGCAACATATTTGGAGGAGAAGACAATGGAGGGACACACTAAAGGAGGGAGGATGGGTAAGCAAATGCAGTCATTATGTCATTCAATATACATAAAAATTGAACAACATAACGAGGGTAGGGATAGGAGAGGAGAAATGGGGTAGAACAATGGAAAGAGTAACACTGATCAAGATCCATTGTACTCATGGACTTGTAACCCTTTTGCACAACTACTTAAAAATAAATGAATAAAAAATAAAATCTGAAAGCAAGCCCTGTGTATACTTTGTGTCCATAACACATTCATAAGAAAACTTAAAAAACTAAGTGCCCAGCCAGGTGCTGGTGGCTCAGGCCTATAATCCTAGTTACTCAAGAAGCTGAGATATGAGGATCAAAGTTTGAGGCATGCTCAAGCAGGAAAGTCTGTGAGATCATCATCTCCAATTAAGTACCAAAAAAAGCCAGAAGTAGAACTATGGCTCACGTGGTAGAACACTAGCCTTGAGGAAAAAAAAGACCCCAGGAACAGTGGCCCTGAAGATGGGCACACACACACACACACACACACACACACACACACACACACACACACACACACACAATCTGTGTTACCAAAATATTTTACACTTGTGTCTAATTACAGAGCTGCTACCATTTCAGCCATTCTTTGGAGAACTCTGTGGGCATGTGGAGCTATGTAACTCTGTAATCTCTAGGGATTTTGACTTTATCGAAGTATCTTTCAGAACTCAAACTCTTGGACCCTCATAACCTGTAATTTTTAGCTTGTAGACCCTTGAGGCAAAGGGAAAAGTAGTTGACAAGAGGAGACCTCAGTTCTAAATGTGTGAGTGATGTTCTCACTCTGGCTGTACTCTAAAAGTACAGCTTACTATTGTAGGAGTGAGTGGGTGAAGTGAGATTTTCTTTTTAATTTTAAGAAAAGGCCTTTATAGCCCAGTACCAATGGCTCACATCTGTAATTTTAGCTACTCAGGAGGCGGAAATCTGAGGATCAAGGTTCAAAGCCAGCCTGAGCAGCTAAGTCCATGAGACTTATCACCAATTAATCACCAAAAAGCATGAACTGAAGGTGTGGCTCAAGTGATAATAGGCCAGCTGTGAGAAGAAAAATATAAGGGGTAGTGCCCAGACCCTGGGCTCAAGACACACACACACACACACACACACACACACACACACACACACGTGCGCACGTGCGCGTGCGTGTGCGTGAGAGAGAGGAGGGGGGGACACTTGTACCTGAAATGTTTGGAACTACTGAAATAGAGTCTAAACATGGCTATTAGATCATTAGCATCAAGTGTCAAAGAGTACTAGTTTCTGTCCTTAGGATAAGGCTATTTTTTTGCTAGGCATTAAAAGAGATCACTTTATCATTTGTAAGCATCATCTTCATGATGTTTGTATATATTCATTAAACCATCGACTTATTTTATTTTATTTTTTAAAAGTTATTTTTGCTGGATGCTGGTGGCTCCCGCATGTAATCCTAGCTACTGAGGAGGCTGAGATCTGAGGATCACGGTTCAAAGCCAGCCCAGGCAGAAAAGTCCGTGAGACTCTTATCTCCAATAAACCACTAGAAAACGGGAAGTGGCGCTGTGGCTTAAGTGGTAGAGCGCTTGCCTTGAGCTGGAGAGTGTAGGGATAGCGCCCAAACCCCACGACCCACAAAAAAAAATATTTTGCAAGTCCTAGGGCTTGAACTCGGGGCTTGGCCAGTATCCCTGAGCCTTTCTGTGCTCAAGGCTAGTGATCTACAACTTGAGCCACAGTGCCACTTCCAGCTTTTTCTGAATAATTTATTAGAGATAAGAGTGTCATGGACTTTCTTGCCTAGGCTGGCTTCAAACCATGATCCTCAGATCTCAGCTTCCTAAGTTGCTAGAACTATAGGTATGAGCCACTGGTACTCCTGGTTCATCAATTGTTTTTATACCTCTACGACTTTTGTTGGTATCTTTCCTTCTCTAAGAACTCCTGATATCTAAAACTGACTATGTCTCCAGCATAGCCTATTATGTAACCCTATTCTCCACCCATTACCATACCAAATTTGTTCCTTCTCCTATTCCTGCTCTTGCTGTTGGCAACATTCTCCAAACAGTTCCCAAATTAGAAACTTGAACTCTTTCATGTCCCTCACCTTCACATCCAATTGATCACTGAGCCTCCTTGATTTTTACCTGTCCAGCATGTTTCAGCACTGAGCTTCCTGCTCCATCCTTGCAATTGCCTATTTCATCAGCTTCTTCGTGGCAGGCAGAGGTCTCTTGCTTTAAATTATTTTTAAATTTTTTAAATTTTATTCTCCTTAAGTATTTGTACAAAGGGGATTCAATTCAATGTGTCATTTTTTTTAGTGCGATGCATCTTTCTAAAACATAAAGGCTAGAATTCTTGGGTTGTCAGTCAAGGAATGGACCAATTTGACCACATCCTATTTTGCCAGCCTTATCTTCTGCTATGCCTCAAAAGACACCCACTTTGTTCTCTGATCACACTGAGCACACCATGCATTTTCTGTTTGTGCTGTTTGGAATGCTTTGGTTCTGCTTTATGTCTTCTGTCTCATGGCAACCCCACTTCCTTTTTGTGACTTATCTCAAGTACATTTCCTCTAGGGAAACTTCTTTTTTTAATGTATTTTTTATTGTAAAAGTAGAGTACAGAGGGGTTACAGTTACATGAGTAAGGTAATGAATACATTTCCTATCGAGCATTGTTACCTCCTCCTTTGTTTTTCCCCTACCATCCCCTCCCACCCCACAACCCCAACTCTACCCTCCCTACCCCCCACAAGTTGTAAAGTTTGTTTTCAACATAGTGTCTTGTACGTCTCATTGTTACAATGGCTCAACCTCTATCCCTATTTAAGCATTTTGGTTTTTAGGGAAACTTCTTAATAGAACTAAGTAGAATTTACCTTTACCTCATCTGTCTCTTTAATCCATCTCTTCTCTTTTTTTATTTTGTGCGAGTACGGGGGCTTGAACTCAGGGCCTGGCTTCTGTCCTTTAGCTTTTTTTCTCAGCACTGGAACTCTACCATTTGAGCCACAGCTCCACTTCTGGCTTTTTTCTTGTTAATTGGAGTCTCAGAGACTTTCATGCTCAGGTTGACTTCAAACCACAATCCTCAGATCTCAGCTTCTGAATAACTAGGATTACAGGTATGAGTTATTACCCAGCTAATACTTCTATTTTAATGAAATAACTTTTTATGCTCATTATTTTCTGTTTTCTCATATATGAACTCCTAAGGGGCAGGCCCTATGTTTTCTTTCCTCTATATGCCACCTAAACTCTGGCCATATAAATATGACTTTTCATGACATAAGCCTTTGCTCAGGTGGGTCAGTCTCTGAGTATGCCAAGCTCCCTTCCTCCCTTTCTCTACATGGTGAGAAAATCTACTCATCTGTCAAGACTCATGTCATATGCAATGTCTCTAAATCTGTGTGCAGTCTCAAAGTTAGCTGTTTCTCATCCCCTCCCCTTGTGGTCCAACCTCAGTGATGGCATTTGCCACATGAGCATTCAATTATAATTATGAGCTTAACTGACACAAATCTCAGATAGTTGATTCATCTTTGTAGATTTAGCACAAAACGTAACAAATAATAAATACATCCTTGACCAATAATTAAAGTCTAATTGATTTATGGTGACCTGGAAAGAGCTACTGGGTAGATTAGTAAGCTTTGAGTACTTATTTACATAATTAGTCCATGCACCTGTAGGATGATGCTGGATTCACCTTTTTTTTTTCTTTTGTTAGTACTGAGGGTTTGAACTCAAGGCTTCATGCTTGTTAGGCTGGTATAATACTGCTGAGGTACGTCTCTTTGTTCATGGGTTATCTTTGTGATATACTTACTCTCCCTTCCTGCCTGGGCATGTGACTGAGCCATGAGCTTTGCCTACTTTGGGCTTTGCATCATTGCTAGAATCACAGGCAGCATGCCACTATGTTTAGTTTTCTACCATGCAGACAGATCATCAAAGATTTTTCTGCCTAGGCTAGCCTGACACCATGATCCTTTCAAGGTCAATCTCCTACATAAGTTGGGATAATATGTACACACCACTGCATCCAGCTATAGTTTGAGAAAGAGTCTTACAAATTTTCTCCCCAGACTAGCCTCAAACTTTGAATCTCCCAGTCTCAGCTCCTAATAATTATCTTAATAATTACAGGCATATACCATTGACACATAGGTTTTTCAGTCTTGACGCTAAAACTGTCCTTGTTACTTTTCTAGGTGCTTGATGCTCAATAGTCAATCCACTGCCTATCCTCACCCCCCCCAATGAGTCTTGGTTCTGATGCAACCTATGGTCATGCAGGGATGCCCTTATACCTTCCCACGATGTCATGAGTGGCGGGCTGCTGACCACTTCCATCACAGCAGCAGCCTCCGAAGCACCGGCCTCCAGCCTCAGGTAAGAATAAAAGAAAGACTGGTAGAGAAAGAGAGAACATAGGATGTGTGTGTGCACTTGGGATAGGAAAGTTTCCTAAATTAGCTTGGGAACACTCTGTATTGACATAATTCTTCCCAGATAGCATGGAGCCTAACTCAAATCCATCTCTATTACTCATTGTGTGTATGTGGGGTGGGTCATCGATCAAGGAAAGGCATTGATCCAGGGAATCCAAAGTGCTCACTGGTGTGTGTGGGGAGGGGGGTGGGGAAGTTCTGGCTGTCCTAGAAAACATGATTAGGAAAAAGCACGACCTTCAGTTGCCTTGGATTCCTATGGCATATCTCATAATCTCTAGGTAGCTCTCTCATGCCATTGGCTCTTCCTCTCAAGTACATAGCCCTCTCTGCTGGTACTTTCCCCAAGACACAGCCAGGACAGCTTGGTCATGGCTAGGTCACAAGGAAGCCTTTTCTAACTCTGAGACATTTCTAGTCCAGAAGACTGTGAGCCTGGCATGAGTCCAGTTACCTCAGCACAAGGGATGCTGAAGCCTGGAGCTAGCACCACTTCCCACTCCTGGCCAGTCATACCCTGCCACCCTAGTTGGCTCCACTCAGACCACTAGAAAGGGTTAGGCAGCTGCTCAAACTATTCCTGTAGGTGGGCCTCAGCATGGAAACAATGTGGAACTGTGGAAAGCCCAGAAGACTCTGTGGGAGATAAATAAGGATGGGAACAGAACTCTTCTTTGGTAAAAACAAAGTGTTTTCCAAAAGTACTGAGGGGTGAGGTTCCAGCTCTGGAATGTTAACCTTTCCCCAGGCAAGAGAGGGAGAAGAGTAGCCATTTCCAGGAGGGGCAATGCCTCTAGTCTTCTGACTTAGGGAAAAGGGCTTCCCTTAGTCCAGCCTAGTGTAGCACAGGCCAGCACCTCTGGCACTGGATCCCTGCATAAGACTACTAGGTTTTATTGTCCCATCTTCCTCCCCTGCAGAAGCCCATAGGGGGATAGGGACATGGCTCAAGGGGTAGAGAGTTTGCCTAATAAATGTGAGACCCTGAGCTCAAATCTTAGTACCACCACCAAAAAAAGAAGGGGAAAAAGGGAGGGAGGGAGGGAGGTCCAAAAGGGATCCTACAGATCACCCATTTACCTCTGTGCTTGGTGTCTGAGTGTTATATTTCTTTCTCCAATCTCTTTGTCTCTCAAAGGCAGGGTATAGCACTCCTTTGTTTTTGCAATGGTCATTGATGAACCTTCGGGACCCTGGACTCTTGGAGGGTCATCCAATTCAGAAGGATTCTGCTGCACCAGCTTCCTGATGATGCCATACTATGGCACTGTCCCAGGTGTCCTAGGAGACCTATTGAGTGATTTACTTGAGGATCCTGCTTATTCCCAAGCTCATCCTCTTGCCAGGCCTTTGGAGAAGTTGCTTATCAAAGATTTGTCAAAGTGTCCAAATCCTTTCACTCATCTCAGAGGAGCAGTGGGCCTGGAGGCAGAATGAGTTTTGGGGGGTCTTTCATGGAAAGGAAAAATTAATCATCAGAAGCTACCTTCTGCAGGCTCTGCTCAGAATCATGGAATGTCCAGTCTCACTCCTGTCACCCTTGGCAGCCTGGGAGGGCCATTTTGGCCCTGGTGTGGCAGGCCCAGTTGAGAGAGAGCCGGAATTCCCCAGGAACAAAGCTTTGATTCACTGGCCAGGCCCTGACATAGCCGCCCCCTCCAGATTCCTGGGGGGTCAATAAACAAACAGGGTGACAGCCCCCGCCTCCTGGCCTGGCTCCACTCTGCCTGCCTCCCTTAGCTGCCTTGCTCAGAGCAGCTCAGGACTGAGCCTGACTGCAGCTCACAAGACCCTGGGTCCGAATTCCTGCTGAGGGTTAATCATGGAGCTGCTGGATCCTGCCATGGACTCCCCAGGCAGCACAGGTAGGGTCAGCTCACAGGGCACAGGGCCTGAATTCTGAGCTTGGTGCCTGGAGCTTGGAAGCTGCCTCCCTTTCCTTTCATGAAGTGCCTGTGAGCAGTGGTTTCAATGGGTTGATTGGTTTCCTAAATAGCCTTGGAGAGTCTTTGTGGGGAGGAAGTTACAGTTTAGGAGGAGGAGAGACTAGAGAAATCTCAGTTGCTATAGCCCCACCAGCTTATTTCCATAGGAAGGCCAGTGGGTAAACAGTCAGGCTAGCATGTAGGTCTCCCTAGGCTGATTTAGAGCAGCCAGACTGAGATTTCCAGAATGAATTCTCCTTCCCTCCATCCACTCCTGCCCTGTATGCTAGGCAGTATGCCATTGTGCTATCATGTTCCTAGTCCTAGAAATATTCTGACAGGGTCTTATCAAGTTCCCAAGTTACACACTATGAAACTGAAAGCCCAAGACAACACATTGTCAGGCTTCATGGCTTGTCCACTTGGCTATCAGGATCTGGGATGCTCCTTTAGTTCTTTCTTAGACCATGTTCTCCTTCAAAACCAGTGCCCCTTTACTAAGATGGGAGGTATAGGGAATTGGAGGGAGGTGGCCTTAAGACCCAGGTCCATTTGGGACATAGGATACCTACCATTAAGGTACTCTGAGCTGGTTTGTTATCTGTCTGAGGTGTTTTTGTTTGTTTTTGGAAAGCATGGGGTTTGAACTCAGGGTCTGGGCACTGTTCTTGAGCTTCTTTTGCTCAGGGCTAGCACTCTACGACTTGAGCCACAGTACCACTTCTGGCTTTTTCTGTTTATGTGATACTGAGGAATCAAACCCAGGGCCTCATGCATGCTAGGCAAGCACTCTACCCCTAAGCCACATTCTCAGCCCCTCTGTGTGAGTTTTTATGGAGCACCTCCTCAGTGTTAGTTTATAGAAGGTTCAGTAAACTCTGAGAGCCTGAAGTATAACTCTATATCACTATAACTCAGTTTGAAAGCTATAGTTGTTCATGTTTGGGCAGTTCTGATCACCTCCTCTTCCCCCTCCTCCTCTTCCTTTTTTCTCCTCCTCACGTTCTGCTGTTTCTGCTGCTGCTTCTGATTCTCCACCTTTTCTTTCTTTCTTCCTCTTCTTCTTCTTCCTCTTTTTCTCCTTCTTTATGAGATAGGGTCTTACTTTGTAGTTCTGGATAGCCTAGAGCTCCCAATCCTTCTGCCTCAACATCCTGAGCATCAGGATTGCAGGCATGTGCTATCACCCTTGATCTAACCAGCTTCTTACCTAATGTAATAGCTTCCAGTATTCCTTCTAGGTAGTGGTCCTGGTAGAATTAACAGTTGGAGTAATCATTACAGTAGGCAGTATGTCTATGTGACTGACTTTGGCTTGGCAGAGAATAGTGCCATGGAGACTTTCTATATTGCTCCCCATGAACACACACACACACACACACACACACACACACACCACATACACACACACCAAGGAGGATTTCTGAACCCTGGTGCCCATCCTCCTTCATTCACTCTTGTCCCACCCATGGCTTGGCACACAACAGGTCATGGCATACAGTGGGAATCACAGAATGTCTGTATTTCTGTCTAGGTTAGAGCTGCTCTTGCTGCCCCTGCACCTCCTTGGGATGGTGCTGGGGATCCCTGCATAAGTCCAAAGCTGCTGAACGGGTCTATTGGTGCCGTTGCCCCCCTGGAACCATCAGCCATGAATCTGTGTTGGAATGAAATAAAAAAGAAGTCTCACAATCTCCGGTAAGGCCTGGCCCATAGAAACTGATACCTTAGGGAATGAGATGGTATCGGGCTGTTTTGCCTGTTGTGGCTTGTCATACTCCACTCAGTCTATGGATCCTCCTTTCCTTGGCATCATCACCTACTTCTCCCCATCCTTTTCCTGGCACTAGGGAAAGAACTCTGAGTTAGAAATCATGAAATTTGCTGGACACTGGTGGCTCATGCCTGTAATCCTAGCTACTCAGGAGGCTGAGATCTGAGGATCATGGTTCAAAGCTAGCCCAGGCAGGAATGTCCATGAGACTCTTGTCTCCAATTAACCACCAGAAAACCAGAAGTGGTGCTGTGGCTCAAGTGGTAGAGCCCTCATATTGAGCTGAAGAGCTCAGGAACCACGCCGAGGCCCAGAATTCAAGACTCACAATCAACAACAACAACAACAAAAATCATGAAATTTATATTTGAGCCTCCATTTTAAATCTTGGGCAAGTTGTTTGACTTCTTAGAATTTTAGCTTCTACTTATTCTATATTTTATGGGGGAAAATGAGTGGAGGAATGATGCCTGCCCTCACTGGCTCATAGAGTAGCCACAAGGTTTGAAGCAATATTTAGAAACGTTTTCTAAATATAAATATGTTGATGAGGAAGTGAGGGTGATGGTGACTCCCCCTCTTTGTCTCCCTGTCTTTTACTTTGATGGGTCTTAGTGTTTGCTTTTCCATGTCTTTACGTCTTCTACTCCCACTCATGGGCTATTAGCTCAGGTAAGTGCAACTCCATAAGATCCTGAAGTCAATCTCTATATGTTATTCGCTTTCCCCTATCCCTGTGTGTATACCTGTCATCTTCCCTCTCTACCCTGTACCATCAAAGCCCCTGGCCTATTGTAGGCTTTGGTGGGATGAAGAGTCAGATAAACCTGGGTTCAGATCATAATTCTGCCAGTGACTTAGCTGTATGATTGTGTACAAACCATTTAACCTCTCTGGGTGATAGTAATGCCCACTCAAGATCATTGTGAGACAAAGGAGTGGCCCAGGCAGAAGAAAGCAAAGGTAGATAGTTGTTATTGCCAGATAAGGACTACACACAGCCTTGATCACATTCCAACTACCTACTACTTGGATTTCATATCAAGTTTCATTTAGGGGTCAGGGAAGGAGGACAAAGATGAGTACATGGCATACATTTTCCTTATTGCATAACTCTAGCCAATGCTTTAGTCATCCTTTGGATCCCTCAAGCTGCTTACAGTTGTACACATCCTTGCCCATGTGGAGTACCCAGGATCAACCATCAACCCTGCCCATCCCAAGTACTGCAATCTCTCCTGCTCACACAAGGCTGGGAGCAGCCCATCCAGAAAAGCAATTTAATGTAACTTAGATTTTTTCCAGGGCAAGTGGGGAACCAGACAGCTGTCCCCCTAATGCCTTTCCTCACTTTCCTACCCTTCCTGTCTTACTGCTGAGTGTGCAATGAAAGTAACTGACATCCACCATATCATTTTAAACCATTTGACTGTGGGATAACTACTTACCTACAGGCCAAAAAGTTGACTTTAATATGGTATTTCACCCAGAGAGACCTCAGGAGCTTCTGTGGGTGGGTAAGAGATGAGTTCAGGCCTCCTTCCATTTCAGCTAGGGCAGCAACTGTTGAAATCATTTTATATGTTAAGGTTCCACATACGTGTTTATTTGGAAAAATATATTTTGCCACTTAAAAAGAAGATTGAACATCATTAGTCTTACCTGTTGTATGCAGCGCTCGCCTAGAGGCCTTCTCAGACCACAGTGGAAAACTCCAGCTCCCGCTCCAAGAGATTATTGACTGGCTCAGCCAAAAGGATGAGGAGTTGTCGGCTCAGCTTCCCCTACAAGGGGATGTATCCCTGGTGCAGCAGGAGAAGGAAACACACGCGGTAGGTTAGAATCATGGAAGCCTGTCATGTAGCCTCTCAGTGACAAAGGGATCCTTCTTACCATACCCTGAAAGTCAGGCCTTCAGTTCTGCTTTGACACCTAAAGCAGCACAAGGTGGCCTACGACCTTGCTAGTTCGTAGGGAGCACTCTACAGGTCTTTCCATCCTATTTAAAATCTTCCCTTAGCTAGGTGCTGGTGGCTTACACCTGTAATCCTAGCTATGCAGGAGGCTGAGATCTGAGGATTGGGGTTTGAAGCTAGCCTAGGAAAATTTTTGTCTGTGAGACTCTTATCTCCAATTAACTAGCAAAAAGCCAGAAGTGGAGGTGGGATGAAGTGGTAGAGCACCAGCCCCAAGCAAAAAAGCCAAGAGAAAATACTCAGCCCCAGTACTGGCACACATGTGCACGCAGGCATACTCTCTCTCTCTCTCTCTCTCTCTCTCTTTCTCTCTCTCTCTCTCTCACACACACACACACTTGATTTTTGGTGGAAGAATATGGAAATGAATACAGTATAATGTTAAGTAAAATCATGCACATGAATCTCAGTTGGATAAAATGTGTATAGATGTGTGCAGAAGAGAGGCAGCTAGAGCAAAATGAAATGGTAAACATGGTTAATTCACTTCGATGACAAAATTGGAATTATTTTTAATTTAATTTTTCATATTTTTGTTCATTTTAATGTTTCTATGGTATATATTGCCTCTATAAAACAAATGCAGGATGCAACACCAAACAATATAAAAGAACACATATAACTGCATGGTATGGCATCATTTGCAGTGGTGGGAAACTTTTATACTGCCAAAAGCCTCTTGTATATTTGTTTGCTTGTTCATTTTATTTCATTTTTTTGCTGGTCCTAGGGCTTGAACTTAGGGCCTGGGCGTTGTCCCTTTGCCTCTTTGTGCTCAAGGGTAGCTCTCTACCACTTGAGTTACAGTGCCACTTGCAGCTTTTTCTGCATAGTTTATTGGAGATAAGAGTCTCACAGACCTTCCTACCCAGGCTGGCTTTGAACTGAGAAACTCAGATCTCAGCCTCCTGAGTAGCTAGGATTACAGGCATGAGCAACTGGGTGCCTGACTCATTTGCATTTTTATAATATCATTAATGGGCTTAGATTTATTGAAATTTGCTTTGGGTAAAAAACTCTAAAATTTACTGTTTCATACCACTTATAGTTTCTTTGCTTTCCTGTACAGGGCCAGACCAAATGATTTCACAAGCCTTATATGGTCCTCACAACAAACACTCCCTACCCAACCTTGGTGGGAGCAGGCAGTGTATTGAGTGGGTAAAAAGCAGATGTGAATGAGTACGCTGTGTGATGATATAAGGTTCAAAAGTAGGCAAAATGAATGGGTGATTTTACAAGTTACTGTTGAAGATATTGAGGCAAGATAGGAAGAGATCTAGGTGTTTGTCTCAGTAGTGTTCCACAGGTGAAATTTGCTCTATGGAATTCAACAAACTAAACACTTTTTATTTGTATGTTCTATTTATATTTTCAAAAACTACAATCAAAATCTTAGTAGAAATTCTCCTATCTGGCTTTTAATTTCTCTAAACACCTTACAGGGAACTGTATGCCTTTTCTAGAAAACAAAGATCGCCTCTACATTTCTCTCTCTGTCATGGCCAGACTCATTCCCAGTATTATCTATTCTTGGGCCTGAAGGGAGGGCTATATCACTTCTTTTCCAGGTAACCCCATGCTATCTAGTGATTTATTGAGAAGTAAGATTAATTGCAGGATGGAATTAAAAGCAATTGAGACACATTTTTTTTCTTGTTAACCATCCTGCTAAACTTCACAGGCCTTTATGGAAGAAGTTAAGTCACGGGGCCCTTACATCTACTCTGTGCTGGAGTCAGCTCAGGCTTTTCTGTCCCAGCACCCATTTGAGGAACTAGAGGAGCCTAATTCTGAGAGCAAAGGTAAGTGGTATTCCACTCTTTACCCCTTCCTTTTTGAACTGCTTTTCCCCATACTCATTTTCTCACCTAAGGTCTGGTAAGATAGTTTCATTTTATGAATCCAGTTAGGAGGAGCAAGATTCATAATCATAAGAAAAGGCAAACAGAGCAGAATTTGAAGCAGGGGTCATGAGCATGTCACCCAATGCTATATGTGGCTCTTTGGAGGATCACATGTGAGATACTGGTTTTTGTTTGTTTGAATTTTGTTACTTTTTTGATAGTACTGGTATTTGAACTTGGGGGCCTCACATTTGTTCAGCTTCCTTGCTTGACTAACACTCTATCACTTGAGACACGTCTCTACCTGGATTTTTTTGCTGGTAAATTGGAGATGGAGTATCATAGCCTTTTTTTTTTTTTTTGCCTTGGCTGGCCTTGAACTGCAATCTTCTAGATCTCAGTTTCTTGAATAGATAGGGTTACAGGCATTACCCAGGATCACCCAGCCATTTTTAAATAAAGTATGAGCATTTTTTAAGTCAAATGAAATGAACAGATTCAGCAAGTAAAAATAGCGGTATGGTTCTTTAAAAAAAACATTTTGCTATATTCAAAATAAAGAGATGTGATGATGCAGTTATCAACCAGCAACAAAAAGAATAGCCTTAAAATCTAAAAAGTTAGGTAATTGTGGTCCTTTGATACAGCCCTGGCTTTCTCTTTCACTTAATAAAGGTACCCTGACTACAATCAAATAAGGTGATAAGGTGGAATCCCTGAAGATTAGTTCTGAGTGGTGGTCTAGCAAGTCCCCTTTTCCAGAGAGAATTCTGAACCCTCTAAAATAGGTGTGAACAAGATGGAAAAGATCCTTCATTGAGCCTTTTGTCAATTCTGTTTACTTTCTCAATTTATTTCTAGGCTCTCAATGGGAGAGCTAGTACTTAATTTGCTGCCCAATAGGCCTCAGGACAAGTTCAAGACAGAGCAAGATAATTCCAATTAGCTTAGAGCTTTGGGGCTCTGAATCTTCTTGGAAGTGGAAGTCTGAGGGACAAAGAAGAAACCTAAACCGAGTAGAATAGAAGAGCTGGAGGTATTAATACCAATCTCTCCTAGACTAAGACTTAATAAAATGTCTCCCTGCTTTGAATATTAAATCAACAGTAGACACTAATGGGCAAATCACATTCCAGGGTCATATGAATAGGACTTAGATGATTTGTCTCTCGACTCCTCTTCTAATATGTTGTCATTTTTTTAAAAAAAAATTGTAATTGACAGGCTGGGAATGTGGCTCAGTGGTAAGGTGCTTGTCTTGCAAGCATGAAGCCCTGGGTTCAATTCCTCAGTACCACATACACAAAAAAAGCCAGAAGTGGTGCTGTGGCTCAAGTCATAGAGTGCTAGCCTTGAGCAAAAAGAAGCTCAGGGACAGTGCCTAGACCCGAAGTCCTAGCCCCAGGACTGGCAAAAAAAAAAAAATCGTTATTGAAAAGTTGATGAGCAGGTTGTTACAGTTACATAACTAAGGTAATGAGTACGTTTGTTTGTTTGTTTTTCAGGTAAGGGGTAGGTTTATTCATCATTCTGGCTGGCACCAGGCATCTTGGCCCTCCATGTGGCTGGGAAAGGCCTGGGAAAGACCTGGGAAAGAGCTAGGAAAAGAGGGCATCTGGGCCTGGGCTAGGCCTTATCTAGGGTATGAGTGGAGAAAGGTATGGCCACATCAAAATCAGATGTGACCTCAGCGGATGCAGATGTGACCTCTTCCAGGTGTGCCAATTGCCTAGGTAATGCAGGTACTGGGTGGAGACTTAGCTGTGAGGAGGGTGGAGTCTGCCGGTCATCCAGGAGCGGACCTTACATTCCAGCCTTTTAATAATCATGAAATAGGGCGGGGATTCTCTCTGTCTACTTCCTCCTGACAGGGGGCGTTGACATTAGGGGTAAAAGGCTGGAATTTGGTCCCAGAGAAGGCAATGAACAGCAGCTGTCCCTTGGTGGCATGGGTCCTTAGATGAAGTCTGAAGAAATCTCATGAGGCATTGAGGGGCTGGAAAAAAATACTAGAGAGCAAATAAATGGCAAGAGGAAGGACTTGGGGCTGAAAATGTTGGTAGAAATGTCCCTAGCTACTTGTGACATCTGGTGACTAGGTAGAGGAGAAGTCAAGTGACAAAGGCAAAAAATATAAATTCCTGTCTGGTTAATAGGTAGACAGGTATAGACATTGGATGGGCAGGCTTCTTGCTTCTATTGACCTCCCAGCTCTGGTTAATTTTGAAAGGGCAGGCACAAAGTAGCTGATGTGACATCATCTCCTCTTACTCCTCTCCATGTTCCCTTGTTCCCCAGACTGGCTGAGTCTAGGTGCTCGTTGCTGGGATGGTTTGTTCCAGTTGGTATTCAAGGAGGTTTGAACTTAAGGCATGGGCACTATTCCTGAGCACTTCTGCTTAAGGCTAGTGCTCTACCACATTGAGTTACAGTACCACTTCCAGTGTTTGGCTGGTTAAAGATAAGAGTCTTGAGCCACACTTCCAGCCTGGCTCTTTGCAGGTTAGTTGGCAGATGGAGTCTAAAGGATTTTTCAGCCCGGGCTGGCTTTGAACTGCAATTCTTTGCCACAAAAGCCCTTTATTATTTCCAATTAAAGCAACAAGGAGATCAAATAGAATAGAGCTTACCTGGTCCTTATCAAGAATTGACCAACAAATATTCTGCAATGACAAAACTTGTTAGATGTGATGAGAATTTTACCACAGACAGGCCCAGAATTTTAGAACCATGTAGTCAGTAGTAGAATATACAACACAAAACAAAAAAGGCAAAACTCAAAATCTAAAATTTTTTAGAACAATGTGTAGACATCTTTGCTAACAAAGCACATCAGATGGTTGGGCCTCACTTACCAGGGCCGGTGAAAAGAGCAACTTGTTAGCAAGGTACCTTAGAATAGATGGATGGAGTGGTAAGCTTGGTGGAAGGTTAAGGGTCAGATGGGGCCAAACCCTTAACCCACCATGTGGCCAAGATGGCAAATTCAAGACAGCAAATTGCTGAAAAAAATGCAAAGAAACCCTGAACAAACAGATCAAGCCTACATTAGCTAGTCTTTGAGAGGGAACCTGGAGGGGGGTCCCGGGGCCCAGCCTGCATCTCACTCTTCAGGGCACAAGCCAAAATGTAGAAAAGAGAAAGGAAGAGATAGGGAAAGTTGGACATGACTGGCAGAGAGAGAGCAAAGAGAGCCTGAAAGTAAACACACTTCTGACCATTTACCATTGCAGTGGCAAAAACTGTCTGTATCTGAGTATGGCATAAAAATTAGGTGCTCTGGCTTTCCAGGGAGCACAGGAGGCATTTCAAAGGGGTTTCACGGCTTGGGTGTGGCTTGCAGCACCCCATTAATTGTGTAGGAGAGTCAGTCTGGTGAGTGAAGGAAAGCTGACCAGGCAGAAGCGGCATCCCGACTTCCCCCAAAGCCCTCTGGAGAGAAATGGCCAAGCCCCCAAAACCAAGCGTATTCGGCTTCAGAGGTGACCGGCCTTTCAGCTAAAGGCCATAGGAGCTCTCTGGCATGGCACCACGTCTGGACAGAGACTGAGCAACAGAGAGCCATAGAGTATAGTTTCACTCACCAGAGTAGAGAAGTGGTGTGGACGTGGATGTGAAGGCCAGCAATGGTATCGATGCACTGTGTCAGCAGCAGACAGACCAGTTCGCAAAAGGCTGTCAGAACTGTGGGTATTCCTCAGAGCAAAAAGGGAAGAACAAACAAAAAAAGAGGGGAAAAAACAGAGAGGAATCCTACCTATCCTGACTTTAAGCCCTTTATCCGAGTCACAGCACCATTTATGTTAGGTTTTTAAAAAGAGGTAGCCGAGTAAGAACAGTACCACCCACGTGGTATTCAGGTAAGGGGTAGGTTTATTCAGTAGACCTGGCACCAGGCCATCTTGGCCCTCCATGTGGCTGGGAAAGGCCTGGGAAAGAGCTGGGAAAAGAGCAGTACATTTGTTTTTAAACTTGCCATGTTGTTTTTTTTTAATGTAAGGAAATCCACCATAATATAGGATGGAGCAAAACTGTCTCTTGAATGTGGTGGTGGATACATGAACCAACATGTGATAATACTGCACAGAACTACATATGCATATGAATATACATAAACACCCCCAGAATGAATACAAATAAAACTAGGGGACACTTAATAAAACTAATGGGTTATGTCAATGTCAAACCCTGGGTGGGACATTGTACTACCATTTTACCAATTGTGGGTAAAGGACATATGAGATTTCTGTGCTATCCTTTATGATTGCATGTGAACCTAAAACCATGTCAAAATAAATAGTTTGTCTTTGAAAAACTAAATGAGCAATAGGCATTTACCCATGCAAAATATGTATTTATATAAGTATGAATATATACACAAGCAAGCACATACATACACACATTTTACAAAGGGGGGGGTTCTTTGTCTCTGCCTTTTCCTGGTTCTCCCCTCCCTGGTTAGCCTGACCTGGCTTCCTGCCTGCACTTGCAGATACCTCCCCCAGACAGCGGATCCAGAATCTTAGCCGCTTTGTATGGAAGCAGGCAACTGTAGCCAGTGAACTATGGGAGAAGCTGACAGCCCGTTGTGTGGACCAGCACCGCCATATTGAGCATACTCTAGAACAGTTGTTGGAGATCCAAGCAGCAATGGAAGAGTTGAGCACTACTTTGACCCAAGCTGAGGGAGTCAGAGCCACATGGGAGCCCATTGGGGATCTGTTCATTGATTCACTCCCAGAACACATCCAAGCTATTAAGGTATGCAGACCCCTCTCCTGGCTACAATCCCCAGTGAGACTTGATAATATTACCCCTGCTGAGACTCCTTTGTTGGCCTGGACTACAACTCAGACTCTCTTGATTTATTTTCTAGATTTGGGACTGGTTTGTTTATAGTCCTCACTGTTCTATTGTCTTCTCTTTTCCTGGTTTTTGGCGATGAGGAGAAGAAGCCATACACTGTGGCCACCAACATCTTAGTCTAGTTGCCTAGCCAAACACTGCTATTGTGTTGTTGAAACAAAACTTCTGGATGGAAAGGGAGGAGTTGAGGTGAATGACTAACAGGTCCTCTTTCCCACTCTCTGTCTGTTGTGACACTTGGGTCCTGGTTCTCCAGCTGTTCAAAGAAGAATTCTCCCCTGTGAAGGATGGAGTGAAGTTGGTGAATGATCTGGCCCACCAACTTGCCATTTCTGATGTACACTTGTCAATGGAGAATTCTCGGGCTCTGGAGCAGATTAACATCCGGTGGAAACAACTCCAGGTAGAAGAGTGATTTGGAGTGAGCCATGAGAAAGCTTGGGGGAAACTGCTGAAATGAAACCTACATGGAAAAGCATTAGTACCAAATGTGCAGGCCAGAAACAACTTCTTAATCCCTAAGCCTCAAGGAGTGATGGAACCGAAGAAGTAGAAGGGCTTATCTAGATGTGGACACTCAGAGAAGACAGAAACCAGGGAAGAGTGACTGAAATTAGGGAGGCATTTCCTGGAACTGCTCAAGAAGGGCTAGGAGTAGGATGATGGTGGGAGGAGCTAGAACAGGGGAAAAAAACAGCTTATGAGAGCTCAGAAAGATCCCAGAGGTACCCACACAGCCCATGTTAAATAGCTGACATGAATCCACAACTTTCCTATCTGTTCTTTTATAGGCATCGGTTGGTGAGAGGCTTAAACAGCTCCAGGATGCTCACCGAGACTTTGGGCCTGGGTCCCAGCACTTTCTATCCTGTATGTGAGCCAAACTGAATTTCACTTAGCAGAACCTTAGCCGCTATTGTTCCCTTGGGGGCAGTAAGGATACAGCAATGTACTATAGTGATGAAAAGAACAAACTCCTCAGAAATATCCAGGTCTTAGTCACTGTATCTTAATAGCTGTGAAAACTTGAAAAAATAGCATAACTCTATCTCAATTTTCTCATCTGCAAACAGGGGAATGTTACCTAGCTCAGTAGGCTATAGAAATTAAGTGACATTTTTGTTCAACAATATTTATTATGGGCCAAGTACTTTTCTGAGCTTTGGGGCCATATTAGTAAACAAAACAGACAGAACTGCTTAGACATGGACAGCTTACATTCTAATAGAGGACACCAGATCAGAAACAAATGAATAAAATATGTATAAGGTCAATTATGGGAGTACTATGGGGAAAATAAAGACATGAAGGCATGTATAGAGAGTTCTGGATTTAAAAGGAAGAGGTGTTGCAGCGGTCTTCATAGGACAGTTGAGCAGAGAAATATAGGAGGTGAGTGTGAACTATGTGGGTCTCCAAAGGAAGAACATTCTAGGCAATGATTCTAGTTCCTTAAAGCAGGAACATGCTGAGGGACAAAGGAAGGCCATGAGAAAGAGAACAAAGAGACAAGAGCAGGGAGGCCATAACACAGATAATTTTGAGGGTGAAAGTAAGAACATTAAGGTTTGTTCCAAGTGGAATAAATAACATTTGAGAAGATTTGAGGTGAAGGATGACATCATCTATTGTGTGCTTCAAGAATAAATTGTTAAGTATAAATTGCTGAGGGGAAAGAATGAGAGCAGAGACACCAGTTAGGAGGCAAATTGCAATAATCTAGATGAGGGATGATGGTGGCCCAGATCAAGGGATTAGCAGTGGAAATGATGAGAATTCACAGAAAAGAAAAATAAGATATGCTTCCCCAAAGCATGAGCATGGTACCTAGCACATTGCTGGAGCTCAATAAATGTTAACAATGGGTAGAATTATTAAAATTTAAATAGTAATAGGTAGCCATACCCATATACTATACTCAGAGCCTCTCCTGGAAGATCATGAAAGATAAAGACATGGGGCTGAAGGGGTATGGGTGTCTAGAATTCCTCATGAGAGAGAAAAGGGCACTACCATTTCCCTCTGTCCCACAGAGCTGAGAACATTGGCCTAAGGGGAAGGGCTTGGAGTCCCATAAAGAAAGTAAACTTTATATCCACAGAAGCAGCCTGCAGTTTGAATGGATAAAATGGCAGTCTGCTTAGGGAGAAGAAAGTTAGGGTGGTCATGGTGGTCAAGTATTTTTGCCCATGCCGTAGCCACGTCACTCATATGTCAGGGCATCAGTGGCAACTTCTTCCTTCTCTTCTCTCTAACATCAGGGAGACAGGTATGTTTATTAGAAGTGATAACCCTATCCTCCAGGGCTATTAACAATTGTCAGCAAGGGGCAGATATATCTTTGGGGGACTTATCAACTTTTGGGGAAGATAGAATAGGGCAATGGCCAGGAGGCTTGAAGAATATCATTGGCCAGCTTTCTTTCTCTTCTTTACTAGCCTCTGTCCAGGTTCCCTGGGAAAGAGCAATTTCACCTAATAAAGTTCCTTACTACATCAAGTAAGTGATTATCAGAATCAGACATGGGTCAATCACCTCCTCACTTGTTTGTCTTTTTGCCAATCATCTCTGTTAGTTCTTGTCCTGGGAATTTCTCCATCCAGTCTCATTTTCCTCCTACTCAGAGCACAAGATTTTACTTGGGTACGGTGTACTCCTATGCTCTGGAATCTTGAGAGTTCACCTGCAGCCTGTTGCATCCAATCTTATTGCTGATTGATGTGTGCACATAGGTGTTGGGTATGAGGATGTTGGTGCTATTGATGATTTTATTTGTAGTCACCAGGCTCAGACCACATGCTGGGACCATCCCAAGATGACTGAGTTATACCAAACCCTAGGTAAGAATGTGGGGTTCCTGTGTAGGGTGGGGATGTGTACAGCTGTCCTATAATGTCCATCAGTAAAGAGGTGTGGAAAAAGAAAATACATTATAGATACAAAATGGAATACTTCTTAACCTTAAGACAACATTTGTGACAATTGGAATGGGCCTGAACTTAAGAGAAATAAGCTAGACTCAGAAAGAAAAATACCACATAATCCCACTTATATAAGAAACCTAAAATAGTCAACTTCACTGGGTGCTGGTGGCTCCTATCTTTAATCCTAGCCACTCAGAATGCTGAGATCTGAAGATTGTGGTTCAAAGCCAATCTGGATAGGAAAGTCCATGAGACTCTTATCTCCAATTAACCACCAGAAAACTGGAAGTGTATCAAGTGGTAGAGCATTAGTTTTGAGTAAAAAAAGCTCAGGGACAGTGCCCACGACCTGAGTTCAAGTGCCAGAACTGGCACAAAAATAAATAAATGAATAAATAAATGCATAAATACATTTGGTCAAATTCATGGACTCTCAGAGTAGAATGGTTGTTGTCAGTCTAAAGAGAGGAAGAAATGGAGAAATATTCATCAAAGTCTTCAAAGATGGATAAGTCCTATAGTCCTATTGAATAGCATATTCCCTATAGTTAACAATATTATTTTTATATTTACAAATTTAAGAGGGTAGATCTTACACTAAGTGCTCTAATGACCTATACACAAATTATAGAAGATAGGAGGAAACTTGCAGATGATGATAGTTTCATGGTGTTTCAAGACTCACTAAGCTGTATACATTACATTTGTACAGCTTTTTCTGTGGCAGTCATACTGAAATAAAGTGATTTAAAGAAAAGGACATTTCAGTCAATAAACAAGTGGGGTGGAAGTGAATGCTTAGTCCTTTCTTCTACAATCTTCATTCCTTTCCCCTCTGCATTTTCCTCATGTGCAGGCTGTACATTTTCCCCAGGAACATTTTTTCATCACACTAGGATGCTTATAAGCGTGAGGACTAATCTCCTTTGAAAGATGCTGTCTAGATGGCAATGAGTATGAACTTTGGGAGCTTCATCTTTGCCTCCCAAGAGAAACTCATGGCCTGATATAGTGGCTCAAGCCTGTAATCTGAGCTACTTGACAGATGGAAATAGAAAGGATCAGAGTTCAGAGAAAAAGTTAGCAAGACTCCCATCTCAACCAAAAGTCAAGTACAGAGGTATGTACCTGTCTTCATAGATAACCAGAGAGCATAAATAGGAGAATCAGTCTGAGGCTGGCCATAACAAAAACATGAGACCCTACAAAAATACAGCTTCAAGCCAGACATTGGTGGTTAATGCCTAAAATTCTAGCTACTCAGAAGATGGAGATCTGAGAATCATGGTTCAAAGTCAGTCCAGGCAGAAAAATCTGCAATATTTTTATCTCCTATTAACCAGCAAAAAGCCAGAAGTAGAGGTGTGGCTTACGTGGTCTAGTGTCAGCCTTGAGCAAAAAAAGCTAAATGTGAGTATGAGACCCCAAGTTTAAGCCCCAGTATTACAAAAAAAATTACAAGGCAAATTTTGTCCTAGATGCGTGTGATTAGTTCACTTTTTGATGTCATAGATTGTACCATCAGATACAGCAGTGTCTTCATCCATCTTCTGTTGGTAAACACACAGCTTTCTGGTTTGTAGCTCAAAGAATAATATTGTGGAGGAGTTCTTGTACATGTCTTCTGCTTAATGTATTCAAGGAATTCTCTAAGACATGCTTTTGGTCTATAGGTCATAATAACATTTCAGTGGGTTGTAACAAGCTTTTGAAAAACTGAAATATGTTGGAAATATCAATGTGTAACAGATCTTTAGCAAGAGTCAGATTTTGTATTCATTTTACACTTTTATCTTATTAAATCAAGTAATGAACTGCTTTCTGAAATATGTATATATTGGATTATGATAGAAAATGAACTTCCTACAATGAGTCTTGATCAGAAAAATGTAAATTATTGCTGTGGGGTATGTATAGCTTGCTAGATAATGCCAGGTTGTTTTCCAAGATGATTATATTAGTTCACATTTCTACTGGCAGCTGTCATTCATGCAAATCCTGTTCATACTTGCTATTGTCAGACTTCTATTTTATGCCAATCTGATGGGTGAAATATGGTATCTTGTTGTAGTTCTAATTTGCACTCTTTCCATTTTTTGCAGCTGATCTGAACAACATTAAGTTCTCAGCTTACCGCACTGCCATGAAGCTCCGCAGAGTACAGAAGGCCCTGCGCTGTAGGTGTCCCTTGCACTTTCTGGTGGCTTTTTCTTTTCCTTTAAATTTTATTGTAAAGGTGATGCACAAGAGTGTTACAGTTACATAAGTAAGGTAATAACTACATTTCTTTTTGAACAATGTACCACCTCCCTCATTTTCTCCCAACTTTTCCACTCCTATGACTTTTACTCCCATCCTCCTGCTCTTTATCTGGATGCTTCTTTTCCCCATTTTCATCCATCTTAGTCAGGAGTATTGATTGTCTTCATGGGAACTCTCCAAAAATTGAGAATATGCTGGCTGTAGACATATGCTCTTTCCAGGGTTCTTCCATTTTCCTCAAGCCACACATTAACCCCATAGGTACTTGTCTCCTTTCCCTTGATCAACATGGAAAATCAATTAACAACTAGGTGCCAGTGGCTCATGTCTGTAATCCTAGCTACTCAGGAAGCTGAGATCTGAGGATTGCAGTTTTAAGCCGGTCAGGCAGGAGAGTCCAGAAGAGGCTTATCTCCAATTAATCACCAAGACTCGGGAAATGGAGCTGTGGATCAGGTATTAGAGCACCAACCTTGAGCAACAGAGCCAAACAAGAGTGCAAGGCCTTGAGTTCCAGTCCCAGTACTGATGCACAAAAGGAAAAAAAAATGAAAAAGAAAATCAAGGAACTGCTTTGTGACCGGAAATATTCCAGCTTATGGTGTGCCTTAATGAGGTTATTGGATTTAACAGCAAATACCAGTATTTTGGGGATCAATGTGGCCATTTCTCAGAGGTACTTTTCATTCAAACTTCCTGGCCCAAGAATATCTGGCTAGGCTGTTAGCATTGGGGATAATGAAAATGGCCTCTTATACATAACATTTACCCAGCCATATCTGATTCTTCACAAACAATATCTACAAAACCTATTTACAGTTGAAATCTATGTAAACACAGAGTAACTTTAAATGAAGTATGATTCCTTAGGAATCTGTGCAATGTGAGAAAATGAGTATTCACTTATCATCATCATCTTGAAACTTGTATCAAAGAACATATGGTTATAGAAATTTGTTGGGTCAATTTAGAGGACTTTTTTACTGCCTTCCAATTCCTTGGTAAAGGAAAAAAATTATTTATTATTATTCTTATGTAGTTGTTCAAAGGGATTTCAAGTAAACATGTCAGTTTGTGAGTACAATGCATCTCAAACAAGGTGACTACTTTCATCATTCTCCCCCATCTTTCTAGCCCCCATGCATTTCCTCAATTTACCTAGTTCAATTTTCACATATTAACAATTATGCATTCGGCCATATTTCCTCTCTATTCATCTGCCTACCCCCTTTGACTTTACCCCCACCCTGACAATAGGTGTTCAAGCTTCCTAGTTTTCATTTTGTTAGACTGTGAGGTAGATGTTCAAAGGAGTTACACCATGAGTTAGTTGTTCAAAGGAGTTACACCATTGGAATACTCCCTTATATATGCATTGTACTTTAGTTAACATGTTTGTATATATATGCATCTGACCTTGTATATATGTGCACATATATTTATAATTTAGATCTAACTTCCATATTTGAGAGAAAATATGTCCTGACCCTCACAGCCTTAGTTCACATAATTTTTTGAGGTTTATCCATTTCTCTGCAAAAGACAAAATCTCATTTTTCCATATTTGTAAATGGCCTGAAGATTGATTCAAATTTGGGACTGCTGGTATCTTTGTCTCTTGGTCTATTCTCCCAAGAGTCTACTTTTGGCTCCATTCTTCCCCTCTCTCATCTCCTTTCCAGTGGATCTGGTAACATTAACTACGGCCCTGGAGATCTTCAATGAGCATGATCTGCAAGCCAGTGAACACGTGATGGATGTGGTGGAGGTCATTCACTGCCTGACTGCCTTATACGAACGGCTGGAGGAGGAGAGAGGCATCCTAGTCAATGTGCCACTATGTGTAGACATGAGTCTCAACTGGCTCCTCAATGTGTTTGATAGGTAGTGACTTTTGGTCCTGGTGATCTCCAAGATAAATTCAATGAGATATTTCCAGTGGTCCTGGTGGGAAGGGGTTGCTGTCATGGTGGACTTAGACCCAACTCAGCATGGGCCACAGATGGCCTGAGTCCTACTGGGGTCAACCTAATCAAGAAAATTACTGTCAATATGTTAACCCTTTACATATCCTCATGTTCTCATTCTCTTCTTTTTAACCTAGTGGTCGCAGTGGAAAGATGCGGGCATTGTCCTTTAAGACTGGCATTGCATGCCTGTGTGGCACAGAAGTGAAGGAAAAACTTCAGTGTGAGTACTACCAGAGTCTTATGTAGTGTTCTTGGGAGAGGTACTGCAAGGAGGAGAAAGGGTATAAGATAAGCAGAAGGAAGGTCATATGAATTTACAGAGGGGGTACTTGTATACCTTAGACTGCTTCCTGACACTGGCTATTATAAAAAATAATACATGATAGCCAAAGGCCAAGATGGGCCTAAGGCTGGTTTTTATTGCTGGTGTCACTCTGGGGGTTTTGGTTTCTTCTGATCCAATGCATGTGTTTAGACTCTGCACTGACTTCCTGGAGAACCTGACTTTCTTCTTCTAGTCCTCACGGCCTATCAGGCATAGCTGTCTTGTATCTGGAGCTCTAGCCATGTCTCACATTCTCTTAGAGATTTCTCCTGTCATTACACAGACACGGTTCAATAATGACCATTTTCCCAGGAGGTAGAAAATGTAGGGGATTTTGGGGGGGCGGGAAAGGGTGGTCACAGGGCTTGAACTCAGGGCCTGGTCACTATCCTTGAGCCCTTTTGCTCAAAGCTAATGCTCTACCTCTTTGAGCTACAGCACCACTTCTGACTTGGGGGTGGTTAATTGGAGATGAGTCTCAAGGATTTTCCTGCTTGGGCTGGCTTTGAACCATGATCCTCAAATCTCAGCCCCTGAGATTTGAGCTAAGATAACAGGCATGAGCCACCAGCACCTAGCCACTTGTGTAGTTTTTAACCTCTGTGGTTTATGGTCTGTTTGTTTTTCACTCCTTCCTCCATTGTACTCAGCACTTTGGACTTTTCTGAAGCAGTATCATTAAGTGTTGAATCTTAAGAGGTATTGACTTCTCTAGTAAATGGAAGGAGTGATAGGTTAAATTAGATGAGGTCAAGCTGGGCATTCCTACAATCCTAGCTACTCAGCAGGCTGAGATCTGAGGATCATTGTTCAAAGCTAGCCCAGGCAGGTAAGTCTGTGAGACTCTTATCTCCAATTAACAACCAGAAAACCAGAAGTGGCATTGTGGCTTAGAGTAGTAGAGCACTAGCCTTGAGAGAAAGCACTCAGATACAGTGCTCAGGCCCAGGGTTCAAGCCTTATGACTGAAAAAATAAAATCAATCCAGACACCAGTGGCTCATGCCTATAATCCTAGCTACTCAGGAAGCTAAGATCTGAAGATTGAGTTCAAAGCCAGCCTGGGCAGGAAAGTCTGTGAGACTCTTATCTCCAATTGACCACCAGAAAACCAGAAGTGGTGCTGTGGCTCAAGTGGTAGAGCATAGCCTTGAGCTGAAGCTCAGGGGCAGTGCCTAGGCCCAGAGTTCAAGCCCCATGACCGACCCCCCCAAAAAAATTAGATATGATCACTTCTGCAAGTACTTCACAGCTTAGAGGAAGAGACAGAAATAAACAAAAATCATTTTTAAGCACTAATGAAACTATTCTAAGTGGCAGATGATAAGTACTACAGTGGTTCACAGAAGAGAGATGACGTTGGTCTGGTCTGGTGAAACTTTACATGGAGAGGAACATATTAAGCATGTTTGTAGCTAGGATGTTATTTACTTTGCCTAACATTCCTTTAAGATGGAGTAGGCAGTGATTATTTATATCCAGTTTCAGGGAAACTCCCCTTAGATAGCTTGATGGCCAACTCAAGATTCTACATGTAGTTAGCAATGGATCCAGAGCTTGAATGTAGGTTTTTGCCTTTTGCTTCTGTGTATTTTCTAGTCCTTAGGTAAGGTATGAGACAATACTCTCTGAAAGAAATTCGCTAAGGTTGGCCTGGGATTGAGGATGCCTTGAAGAACCAATAGTCTCTATTCAAATACCAACACCATAGTATATTCTGAATACACATGGAGATCATTTTTAAGATGATCAGATGCTTTGAATTATCTCCTCTTCTTCAGTTATCCTTGTCAGTTCATCCTTATGTATGGACAACTTAGAGATTACATCAGGATCATTCTATATGAGCCACATGAAGATACCCTCTCCTGAATAGACGGAAGTCTGATGATAGTGCATGTTCAGGGACCCTGGAGCCCATGGCTCTCATCTTGTGTCTGGAATTGCTGTTATAGCCAGTGTGTACTCTCTCTCTCTCTCTCTCTTTCTCTCCATCACATTCTCTCTTTCATGCTCCTTTTTTTTTGTCAGTCATTGGGCTTGAACTCAGTGTCTGAGTGCTTTCCCTGAATCTCTTTGTGCTCAAGGATAGCACTTTACCACTTGAGCCACAGTGCCACTTACAGCTTTTTCTGAATAGTTTATTGGAAGTAAGAGTCTTATGGACTTTTCCACCCGGGCTGGCTTCTAACTGTAATCCTCAGATCTCAGTTTCGTGAGTAGCTAGGATTACAGGTGTGAGCCACTGGCACCTGGCTCATGCTCCTTCTTTATGTTTGCTTTTTTCTCCTGAAACTCAGAGAGTGTCCTTTTTTAAAACTTCTTGGCATCTAGGATGAACCTCTAGATATTTTATGCTTGAAAGCACATACTTGTAATTCCAGATACTCCTCAGCCTAAAGCAGAAAGATTTTAAGTTCAAAGCCAGGCTGGGAAACTTAGTAAACCTATTTCAAACTAAAAATTTAAAAAGTGAATATGTCTATGTAAATCATTTAGTAGTCTTGGGTTAAATCCCCAGTTGCTTTCACCCTCACAAAAAAAGTCTTTACTTCAGTGGTTGTTTTCTTTCTTGTCTTCCTTTTTTATTCATCCCCTCATCTCATTCTCCTGGCATTCTTCATTGGACTGGCCATTTCTTAATTGTGGGCTAGCAGACCTCTTCAGCCAAGTGGCCAACTCTGGCAGCCAGTGTGACCAACGTCACCTTGGTGTCCTGCTTCATGAGGCCATTCAGGTGCCCCGTCAGCTGGGTGAAGTAGCAGCCTTTGGGGGAAGCAATGTGGAGCCCAGTGTCCGAAGTTGCTTTCGTTTTGTGAGTATGAAACTGAACAGGGATGGAGGAAGGGAAAAGAAGGGGAGGAAGGGTGGGACGAAGGGAAGGAAGAGCCAAATCTATGTTTTGAAGTGCTCAGGGCTAGGAGAATGTGTGGGGATGAAAAAATGGGACTGAGCCGGGCGCTGGTGGCTCATGTCTATAATCCTAGCTACTCAGGAGGCTGAGATCTGAGGATCGAGGTTCAAAGCCAGCCCGGGCAAGAGAGACCGTGAGACTCCTATCTCCAATAAACCACCAGAAAACCGGAAGTGGCGCTGTAGCTCAAGTGGTAGAGTGCTTGCCTTGAGCTGAAGAGCTGAGGGACAGCGCCCAAGCCCAGAGTTCAAGCCCCATGACCGACAAAAAAAAAAAAAAAGAAAGAAAGAAAAGATGGGACTGAGGGCTCTTTGATCTCTAGGGTTGGAGTCCTGCCCTAAAGGATACCAGTTTATCTAAGACAGAGCCAAAAGTGGACATCTCTGGAGAACATGCTGACCTAGGCTCTTCTGGTTTCCCTGATTCTTTAAGAAACAAGATAATTCAAGCATCAGTGATTTTCATGGGATTTCTTGTTTCCCTAGAGCACTGGGAAGCCAGTCATTGAAGCTTCCCAGTTCCTGGAGTGGGTCAACTTGGAGCCCCAGTCCATGGTGTGGCTGGCTGTTCTGCATCGCGTCACCATTGCTGAGCAAGTGAAGCATCAAACCAAGTGCTCTATCTGTAGGCAGTGTCCAATTAAAGGGTTCAGGTAGGGAGAACAATACTAGCTGCTATGATAATCATCATAAATAATTCAGGAGACCTATAATTCAGTATAACACAACACATCAGTTAATCATTATAATTGAAAAGACACATCTTTTATGTATTAGTATATATTGTAGTACAGAATGTTTAACATTTTATAAAATTGGAAATGCTGTCCATTATGTTTTGGTTATAATCTGAAATACTATAGATTTACAAAAGTACATAGTGGACATCATAAAAATTCCAATTTACCAAATGGTGTGTCAGGAAGTGTTCTACAATAGACTCCCTGGAAGGAAAAAAAAGAAAAACAAGTTGTAGCATTTCTGTAATGGAAACCCTCCCACAAACACACCTGCCCATGTCACATTATCTACAAATGTTCCTAAGCAGAGATCAGGAAAAGATGCACAGATTTATAATATTTATAGTGTCTGCACCATAGAGATGCTAGTTGAATATCCCAAAGCCAATAATCAGAAATTAGGGATGTTTAATCAGTAGTGTATACAAGTTAAAAAATGAAAACTCTAAAATCTGAAGCTCTTCTGTTCTCAAGCATTTCAAATAAAAGGATCCTCAACCTGTAATAAATAGCTTCAAGAAGATAGATAATGATAAATTAATTAAGAAGAAATGAGTGTGGAATATGAACTACCTCTTTCAGATCATTTATTAATTGTGAACATTAATAATTTCAAGTTTTAATAATGACTGTGTTTTACAGCAAATTTAGAAAACTTTTGAAATTTTAACAGCTAGCTAGCTCTTGTAAAATTGCAAGAACTGAATCCAACACCCTGAAATGTAAACCCACAACCAAAGTTAAGGGCTATAACAATATTATAGTATATTTGAAGTATCCGTGATTTCATTGCCCAAAAGCAACCATATCCTGAATTTTACTTTCATCCTAAAAAACTCAATTTTTTCACTTTTTAAAGCACCAGCACACAACTACATATACTCTGCTTTTGTGTGTTTGTTGGGGGGGGGGATCTTGGGACTTGAACTCAGGACCTGGGCATTGTCCCTGAGCAGTTTTACTCAATGGTAGAGGTCTACCATTTTAGCTACAGCTCTACTTCGGGCTTTTTGGTAGTTCATTGGAGAAGACTCTCATGGATTTTCCTACCTGGGCTGGCTTCAAACCATGATCCTTAGATCTTTGCCTCCTGTATAGCTTGGATTATAGTATGAGCCACCACCAGCACAGGCCAATATTCTGCTTTAAATAAGATGAGCAAACAAGGCACTGAGGTGGGATGTGACTTGCCCAAGTTCACACAGCTACTAGTGATATTGGATCATCCAACTCCTCTAAGGCAAGGCATTTTACTCTTCTGTGCTAAGTCTGGGCAATTAGGTAGGCTTTGGAAGTAAATATAAAGGACTCTTCTATACTCTGAAATAATAGAGTTATTATTATTAAAAAACCTATGGAAATAACTTTCATCCAACTTAATCACAGGTAATAGAATAAACTGTCTTTGTATTATGTTCTCTGAAGTAGGTGGTGGTACCTTGGGTCATGGAGCCTTGGAGTCATGCTTGTTTAAAAATATATCACAAAGGGATCTTTGCCTTTGCTCCTCTTTCCACCCTTTAAATGATAGGTTGTTCAACACTACTTCCTCACATTTCCCGGGAAAATGAGCTTGTGATTTCATGGAGACCATGGTCTCTAGAATAAGGCTCAGTCACTGCTGTGTGTGGGAGGTTGAGAATGTTATGACTCCGTGTTCCACCTCCTTCTTACACGTGTATGTATTTGGATATAGAGGGGATGGGTAAGGTTACTATGGCACACTGGGTTATCTTTCCTTCTATGTCTTCTCTCCCCAAGGTACCGGAGTCTGAAGCAATTTAATGTGGATATCTGCCAGACCTGCTTCTTGACAGGTCGGGCCAGCAAAGGCAACAAGCTGCACTACCCCATCATGGAATATTATACACCGGTATGGAGTCTCTGGGCTAGGAGGGAGAAGCAAGCAGATGTCAGGCACTAGGGCTTCACCCAATTTGCTCAGCCTTGATTCTCTGTGTTCTGCTCTCATATAAGAAACATTCTCAAACAGTTCTGGTGATTCACAAGCCTAGGGAATCAAGGTCTCTCTATTCTTCTACCAGAATTCCAAATTAAGGCCACAGTTGTCCCAAAGAACTCTTAAGGTTAATGGAGAATTGAAGGGTTCCCTCATATTCCCAGTTTCTACACAAAATTATAGGTCCTTGAGATCCTCCTGTGAAAAGCACTTCAGGGTATCTTACAAAAAGGAGAAGCTTGCAAGGTGAAAGTTTTATCACAAAAATAAGATTAAGGTAGAAAGAAAGAGAAGGAAAATATTTCCTGTTCTTCCTGCAAGAAATAAGAGTTAAAGATTCAAAATGGCAGCTGTTAGCTGCTGCCTTTGTCCTTTCTGAGCTGGAGGAATAGATGGTGGTTATACCTTCTAGAAATCCTCAGCCCTTAAGCGATCATTAGGGTGCTACTTATTATTCTAAAATATGGAGATGCCTCTAGGCCTGATAATGAATGAGCTTTAGGGCTTTATTTTCTCAGATGAGCTTACTGTCTTTACCCATTTACAGAGAGGGCAGTTTTAGCTAGCTAGGACCCTTTTAGGTCTCTTAGACTTTGTAACTTAACATTTAAATAGAGGGAAGCTTAACTGCTTTGTTAGTTGCTTCCTGGTTCCAACTTCTGAGTCGGCCTTTTTCATGCTTATTAAAAATAATATAATTTCCGGGGCTGGGAAGGTGGCTCAGTGGTAGAGTGCTTGCCTTGCATGCATGAAGCCCTGGGTTCAATTCCTCAGCACCACAGAAGCAGAAAAAGCCGGAAGTGGTGATGTAGCTCAAGTGGTGGAGCACTAGCCTTGAGCTGAATAGCTGAGGGACAGCGCCCAGGCCCAGAGTTCAGGCCCATGACTGACAAAAAAAAAGTAATTTCCCTATCTTGGTGGCTCATGCCTATAATGCTAGCTACTCAGGAAACTCTGATCTGAGGATTGAGGTTCAAAGCTAACCCGGGCAGAAAAGTCCACAAGTCACTAGTGCACCAGCCTTGAATGAAAAGCTAAGGGACAGCATTCAAGCCCTAAGTTCAAACACTACTACTGGCACAGAATTTTTCATTTGTTTATTTGTTTGTTTGTTTATTGTTGGTAAGTGGGGCTAAACTCTGGGCCTGGGCGCTGTCCCTCAGCTCTTCAGCTCAAGGCTAGCGCTCTACCACTTGAGCCACAGAGCCACCTCCAGAAATTTTTAAAAGTACAAATAAAAGTACTGGGGGTGTGAACTCAAGTGATGGAGCATATGAGGCTCTGGGTTCAATCTCCAGCACAGAAAGAACAAATGGAAGGAAGGAAGGAAGGGAGGGAGGGAGGGAGGGAGGAAGGGAGGGAAGAGAAAGAAAGAAAAATAGAAAGAGAAAGGGAAGGAGGAGAAAAAAATAGAAAAGAATTAGGCGTTAGTGCTCTGATGGATCTGACACAACTTCTCAGAACATCTGGAAAGCAACAAGATGAGTCTCTCTATCCTATCTCACCCCCAAGACCACCTCCAGTGAGAACATGAGGGACTTTGCTACAACCTTAAAGAACAAATTCCGCTCAAAGAATTATTTCAGCAAACATCCTCAGCGAGGTTATCTGCCTGTGCAATCGGTGCTGGAGGCTGACTGCAGTGAGACGTGAGTACCAGGTGGCTGAGTAGGGGCTACAAGCAGGCTCGATGATATGGTATATGTACTGTGAAGGGGCTGGGTCCTAGGTGAGCTAACAGAGTGTTCCAGGGTAAATCCTATCAGTGTCAGGGCAATTCAACTGGGTGTAGCCTAGACTAGGGCCTGAGAAATAGACCAGAATCCCATCATGATCTTGTTCCATTAAAACTTGTCCGTCTCCACTATGTGGAAAACAGAAGTGGTGGGGGTCATGAGGAAACAGGCTGTGTACCTGCCCAATTGTTAGATCATCTGTCTTTGCTGCTTTTTTCCAGGCCAGCTTCATCCCCGATGTTGCCACATGCTGACACACACTCTCGCATTGAGCATTTTGCTAGCAGGTACCAGCAGGTTTGGATGTATGTTGGGGTGGGGGTGGGATTGTAGGAAGACCACAGGGAGGGTTTTTTTTTAAAAAATCTGGACAAGGAGATTTGAATAAGGACCAAGGGATGTACACAGTAAGATGAGAATTAGACAGCAAGGCCCAACACTTAGGAGTGATTTCGGTAGCTCCCAAATCTAGTGATTCTATTGTGGGGTTAAGATGCTTGAGATGAGAGTTCAAGCCCCACGACCGACAAAAAAAAAAAAAGATGCTTGAGATGAAAGCAGTCCTCACATCTAGTTTTCCTTCCTGTTTCTGGTCTTTCTTTCCAGGCTTGCTGAGATGGAAAGTCAAAATTGTTCCTTCTTTAACGACAGCCTGTCCCCAGATGACAGCATGTGAGTTTCCACAGCTGCTATGTTTCCAGAAATAGCTCTTCTTGAGAACCTTCTGCCACTGGTTGAGAAGGGTATATCCCTAGGGGAATGGGAGCCAGGGTGGTGGTTAGGGTCATTGTCTCCTCCCAGGAGGGCGGGCTTCTTCCTAGGCAAAGCATTTAGTAAGACAAGCAGTCTTTCCCTCTATCAACAACCTCCCTACAATCAGCCCAGGCGTTCTCTGCCAACTTCAAGAAAAGATTGTACCTTCATCTAAGTTTCAAAAAGCAGCTATGTTTTTTCTGCTCAAGATACCAAAACCACATCTAGTACCATACCAATTTGACTCAAGTATGGCCAAAAGAAGGCCGAGGAGGAGCCCTGCATCTCTAACTCCCTAGAACTGGCTTGCAGAGATGATCTAGAGGCAGGTGCTTGCAGGGAACAATCTGATCCTGACTGGGATCAGATCCTTCTCAGAGGTGGGTAAGGAAAGGAGGGCAGACTAGGAACTGATTTGTTCAATATATCTCAGGGAGCTGTAGAACTCAGAAGCTGCAACATTCTGGAAATACTCTCTCATTACCCAAATTACAGCTGTTGCCACCCTTGAACATTTCCACCCTTCCCAAGTGTGATCTTGTGGCATTTTCCTCTTTATGAGACTTAAAATCCAATTATCTGGCATGAGTCCTCAGTTGAGAGCTGAGCCCCTGAGTGGTTTCTCTATTCGATACTTGCCTACTTCCTTTCTTCTCCCCACACCCATGCAGAGATGAGGACCAGTACCTGTTACGACACTCCAGCCCTATCACAGATCGGGAGCCAGCCTTTGGACAGCAGGTTCCATGCAGAATGGCCACAGAAAGCAAGGGGGAACTAGAGAAAATCCTGGCCCACTTAGAAGATGAGAACCGGTGGGTATAGTCATGGCTGGAATGTGTATGAGTTCCTGATGCAGACAGTTTCATTTTAAATCCTAACACTTATAATTTGTGGAGGAGATGGGGAAAAACAAGTCAGTTAAGGATACAGGTGGACCCGATACAACTATGAGAAGTACAAGTTGTCATGTCAAAAATGAACTTTACAACTTTGGTGGGGGGGGGGCGGAGAGAGGCTGGGAAGGGATGTGAAGGGTAAACAAAGGAGGAGGCTGCAATGCTTGATAAGAAATGTACTCATTATCTTGCCCATGTAATTGTAACCCCTCTGTACAATATGTTCACAAAAAATTTAAATTTAAATTTAAAAAAAGAAATAAAAAGAAATCATCCCATGAAAAAAGAAATATTAATGGATATTAATAAAATTAATAACTACAATTTAAGTCAAAATTCTGTCTACAAAGATAAAACTTGATCATCAAATGAAAAAAAAAATCCTAACACTTCCACATATTATTAGTATAACTAGTTACTTATACTCCATTTCCTGATCTGTAAAATGGGGATAATGATAATTATTGTGAACGCAAAGTCAACTGTGAAGACCAAACAAGATCAGCCTATAATGTGTTAGCTCAGTGCTTGGCTTATAGTAAGGACTCAATAAATAGTAATGACTCTTATTATAAGAGCCCTTGTAACTCCAGTTTTTCCAAGTACCTACTACATACAAGAATAGAGAATACAAACAAATACAAGCAAGGTGCCAGTGGCTGATTGTAGTAATCCTAGCTACTCAGGAGCTGAGGTCTGAGGATCACAGTTCAAAGTCATCCTGGGCAGGAAAGTCTGTGAGACTCTTATCTCCAATTAACCAACAAAAAGCCAGATGTGAAAGTATGGCTCAAGTGGTAGAGCTCTAGTCTTGAGTGAAAAAGCTAAGGAACAGCACCCTGGCCCTGAATCCTAGCCTCTGTACTAGCATAAAAATAGCCTTCTCCTCCTGGTTTCTAAGAACTTTCTGTGCTGGAAGTAGAGAGATACTTATCACATAAAGTATCCCAGAGCACTGTGACATTACATACAACATTTGAGGACTAGGAAGATTTGAGCCACTTTGAGGGAGGAAGTAGAATCTGCAGCACCTATTAGAACAGCACTCCACAAACATTAGCTGTACACTCAGGGCAATTGGAAAATACAGATTCTGATTGACAGGTAGGGGGCTGAGTTTCTTCATGTCTCACAAGCAGCCAGAAGATGTCCATGTCACCAGTACACAGCCCATACATTTTAAGTCTTTCAAACTGTGTCCTTCAGGGGAGCCATGCCCAGGAGGAAGTCTGCAAAGATAAATACAGAAATAGAAAAGTTACCTTTTCAGAACTTCTATAACAATCTGACTTTGCCATGACATCCAAACCCGTAATTACAGGACCTATCATAGTGAATAGGCTACAGGTGATATTTGCTAGTGGGCCTAGTCATACATATTAGAACCACACATATCATTCCACAACTGAGTGGGGGGAAATTTTTGGTTTCTTGCTAAGAACAGTTTGAAAAACTTTGCATTAAAGAGTAGCAGGGAGCTGGGTGCTGGTGGCTCATGGCTGTAATCCTAGCTACTCAGGAGGCTGAGATGTGAGGATCACAGTTCAAAGCCAGCCTGGGCAGAAAAATCTGTGAGACTCTTATCTCCAATTAACCACTAGAAAACCGGAAGTGGTTCAAGTGGTAGAGCCCTAGCCTTGAGCTGAAGAGTGCAGGGACAGTGCCCAAGCTAGAGTTTAAGCCCCACAACCGACAAAAAAAAAAAGAGTAGCAGGGAGAAGACCCTTAGAAATGTTGGGCAGGTAGTGATTCTATTACAGTGACCCCCACAAAAGAGTCATGTTCCCCAAAGCAGTCTATTCCTTTGGAATCTGTTTCTTTGATGATCCAACGTGTGCCTTCAATGTGGGTCACACAGGAGGTAAGTTATAGAGAGAAGAGGCAAAATGAATGGTCTATTATTTATGTTATGATATCCCCTGGAATTTAAATGTCTAGAAAGTGAGTAGGTGAGTCATTGGGCCTAGTGCTTCTTTTATTTGCAGACCATGTTTCTGCCTGATTTGAAGGTCAGAATTAATCCCTGAAGCAGTACATCAAAGCCCTAAGCCATTTCTTATGTGAAATGTCAGCTCTATTTGCACAGAGGTCTCAGAAGAGCAGAGTACATGATACACATGCTGGAGAAGAAGTGGATGTGACCGTTTAACAACAGCAGGGTTCTGGGTGGGGAATGGGCTGAGGAAGCACAGGGATTGCTTACCCTTGGGAATCATATGTCTTGACTTCTTTGTCCTTCCTTGGCAGGATTCTCCAGGGAGAGCTGAGGCGTCTGAAATGGCAGCATGAGGAGGCGGCTGAGGCCCCTACCCTGGCTGAGGGTTCCACTGAGGTAGCACAGGACCACAACAATGAGGAGCTTCTGGCTGAAGCCAGGATCCTCCGGCAGCACAAGAGCCGCCTGGAGACTCGCATGCAGATCCTCGAGGACCACAACAAGCAGCTAGAATCTCAGCTGCAGCGTTTGAGGGAACTGCTCCTGCAGGTGAGGCTGGAGACTGAAGGAATCTGAGCAGTTCTGAACATTGGTATGGAAAGTAGGGTTTGGGAGTGCAGCAAAAAGGAAGAAAAATCAACTTCTTAGCTATGGCTGTCAAGTGACTTTCTGAAGAGAACTGGGCTGGCAGTTGTGGAGGGAAGTGGAAGGAAGGGCTAATAGGGACATATCCTTAATTGTTTGTTATCTAATTTGTATACCAATTACGTGTCACTCTCAAGATACTAAAGGGTTTGGGTCAGAGGGAGGACATCTTAGTTGTGTGTTTGCTGGTGCTAGGGCTTGAACTCAGGACCTGAGCATTGCCCCTTGGCTTTTTTTGCTCAAGGCTGGTACTCAACCACTTGAGCCACAGCTCCACTTCATCTTTTTGATGGTTAATTGGAGATAAGAGTGTCATAAACTTTTCTGTATAGTCTTGCCTAGAACCACAATCCTTAGATCTTAGCATCCTGAGTATGTAGGATTATAGGCATGAACCACCAGTGTCTGGCTAGGATGAGAGAGAGGACTTTGAAAGACTCATTTTTTCACAACCCCATTGGAAATTGGTATTGATAGAACAAACTTCAAATGTCATCCATAACATTAATTTTGGTAGTATAGCAGCTACTAGAAAGAAGCAAGTTGGACATGTTTGGCAAGAGAAAGATTACTGCAATAAAGGGATCTCTTGTTACTTTCTGCTTCTTTCTTCTCTGAGAACTAGTGTAGCTCTAGAATCAGACAGCTATGGATTTGAATATGGCTCTTCCAGTTAGTTACTATAGGGTGTTAGGAAAATTAACCTCACTCAGATCCAGTTTCTCATCTGTAAAGCAGGAATAATTATAATACCAACTTCACAGAATTGTGGTCAATATAGTTAACCTCAATTGTTCATTATGAGATAATGAATTCATTATGCCAGAAATACAGTATACTCTTCATAAATGTTACCCTTTATTGTCATTATGTGTAGCAGGCAATAGTACTTCTTGCCCTCTAACTTCTCTCCAGATCTTCCAAAAGATATTTTCTAAATGAATTCCTGGAGAGAGTTCTAGCACATGCTGTTATGTCATGAACCGAAGACCAGGTGTGCAATTCTATATTTCCAGAGAAAATTGGCTTCTAAATAGTTTATATATAGCTGAAAAGACCTTTAGGTGCCCTGCCATCTCTCAAGAACTAGGAACCTTTGACATGTGTTGCTAAAGGAAGAAGTTAATTACCATTAACTTAATTAATATTTTAAGAAGTTTCCTAAAAGGGGAAGCCACTGCTGGGTGCCAAAGCTTCTTAAAGTCTAAAGGTAGAGATGAGCATGAGGTCTCTAAGTTCCCTTCTAAGCTGAAGAGTCTGTCAGGAAGGCAAACCCACTTAATCATACCTTACTTCTTGCTAGCCACCCACCGAGTCAGATGGCAATGGCTCTGCAGGCTCGTCCCTAGCTTCCTCTCCACAGCAGTCAGAAAGCAGTCACCGCCGGGAGAAGGGACAGACTACTCCAGACACTGAGGCTGCAGGTATGTTCCCCAGCTCCTCCTAGTCCTTTCCTTTCATGGGGTTTTCCTGCCTAGATTTCCTGCCCAAGGTTCTGCTAGGACTGGGACTAGTTGCCCCTCTTGATTTTAAGCTTAGGTTCAGAGATGATTGGTTGATTGACTGATTTGCTCCTATAAACATAGGAGATATTGTGAGTGCCTCCTACGTATGCATCATTGCAATGGGAAAATGCACCTGCGTTAGGTTGGCACTTCAGCTGATAATATCCTACTATGGTGTCCTGCTTTTACTCAAAGGAGTATCATGTTATTATTTTCCTCAATCTCTCTTTCCTAACTCAGATGATGTGGGATCAAAGAGCCAGGATGTCAGCCTGTGCCTGGAAGACATCATGGAGAAGCTCCGCCATGCCTTCCCCAGTGTACGAAGCTCTGATGTGACTGCCAACACCTTGATGGCCTCTTGATGGAGCAAGATCCCCATCCTTATAGTCCATAGTCCTTTCCTGGTTCTGGTCAAATCCTTCCCTCAGCCTTCACCCAACCTTTCCAGTCCCCACTGGTCCTGCAATAACCAGAGTTATTTGGGCTCCAGACAGCAACAGGGATCTGGTTGTATGTGAGGTGGGTGTGGTGGAGGAGGGGTGGAAGAGAAGGGACAGAGACACATGATTCCTCCAACTCTACAAACGTGTCCTTTCTCAAGTTTGAGACCTGTTCCTTACATTACCTTGCTGTTGCAGCCCAGGTAAATTGTACTTTTCTCATTCAGACGGGGAACAGAGAAATTGCCTTGCAGAACTAAGCAGTATACAGTGGCTACTACCTTTTTTCTCCATGGGATTATGGACAGAGAGAGTCCTAATGGCTCCAGGGCACCAGTATTATAAATCCATAGAGATTGGCCCTAGTAATTCAGGAAAGTGAAAAGGTATCTCTGAGACTCCCCTCCATAGTGCCCTGAAGAAGTCTGGGAAGTGTGTGCTTTGTTACTTCAGCTCCAAGGCATAACCCTAACCCTTAGAATTCTGCCTCCATGTTGTTTCCTCCTCCAGTATTTTCAGTTCCTTCTGCCTTAGTCCCTGGCAGACCTTCTATGAGGCGGAAACAGTTCATTCTGGTTTCTATTTCCACCTTACATTTGGAAGCATTAAAGAAATATTTGTGGGCTGAGAATTTTTCCCTGATTTTCCTCTTTCCTCAAGGCTTCAGCATTTCAAGAGACCCGCCCTGAGATTCTCTAGAAACTCAGTCTAACCTATTTAAGTATGTCTTCTAGACTTGGGGGATGGATCAGTGGCAGCTTGCTCAGCAAGGGCATCTTCACCCTGGGGTGCCTGACCCTCTAGGCTGTGACCTTTTCCTGTCTTAGTCTAAATCAAGTGAGGTGGCTGGCGTTACCCCCCAGCTAATCATAAGGCAGTTGCAAATGGCCCTTCTGACTAGAGATTTCTTCCTAGGAGCCACTGGACATAAATCAGAAAGCTGGGTGCTTTCTACTCAGATGACAAGGCCTTCTTGTGACTAACTCTGGAAAGTGAACCAATCCTCAAGCCGAACTAACTCTTCCTAAGCCACATATACCGTGACTCCTTTATCCAGCAACTGTTCAAAGTAGATAGTAGGGGTGAAAGGATTAAGCTTGGAAACTTGGAACTGAGTCAGAACCCACTTAGGCTGCTTTCTACCAAGAATTATTTCCCCAGAGCCCTGCAGTAGACTTATTTGCCTGAGTTTATATACATACATATCTATTCTACATATCTACTGTACATCAGTGCTCTCTCAGCCTCACTCACATATTAAATTCTAATACTGCTTGAAGTATTAATGTTCTGCCTTGCTCTTTGTTAGACTCAGCCTCTAGTTGGAAAGAGAGATTAATCATCTTGGCTGTTCCCCTAAAAGGCCTCTGCATTGTTATTTGGGCTAAGCTGCCCTCAAGACCAAAGTAACAAGAGCCTTTGGCCACAGGGGAGTTGTAACAGAACAGTCATTCTGTTCTCTTCACTTATTCCAAACTTGTCTCCTTTGACACCTGGACTTGGATGAAATTTTCTGGATATCCGTTAACAATGATTCAGGTGCCAAAATAGAGATCTATGCTTCATCCATCCTATTCAAAGCAAAATATCTTTGCCATGCTAAGACAAGAATACATCTCCTGGCTCCTTTCAGCTCCTAAAATCTAGCTCAGGGACTTAAGGAAAACAGTGATTGCCAACATTATCAAAGAGTGACATATTTGGAGTATTGTACTATAATCAGGTAGTAGCCAGTAGGGAAAACTTCTAGGAACCTAGATCAATCTGATCTGGGGAAAGTTGGATAGCCACTTGGGTTCTGAAGCCAAGGAGTCCCTTCACTAAGCCACAGGTTCATAGTGTCAGATCTCATGTCCCAATATCTGCCCCTGTTTGTGAGGTCTCTAGCCATGCATGGTGAGCAGGAGATAGGTAGGCTTATGATACAGAGCCTGAACATCAGTCAGAGTGGGACATCTTTGTAGGAGTGTAGATTCTGGGCAGGAGTAAGCCATTTGAAACTTGTAAATGACAGATATTATGGAACAATCTTTTATCAAGAAAGTTATTTCTTTAACCCCTACCCCACCCAAAAGCTTTGGGGCTGCTGAGAGCCTGAGGTAACTTTAATGGGCCAGGCATGGTAGAAAAGACATAGATCTTGTTATGTAGGATTTGGGCTGTAGGTGGATTGAAGCAGCAGGTGAAGAGATGAATTCTCACTAAGGGAGTCAGTGACATTTTGCTATCTTGTGTTTACATGTAATGCCTGAGGTGAGTATACTGTTCAAGGGTCCAGTGACAGTTGCTGCTTCATGTTTGGGCAGTCTGCCCGCAGTGAGGCAAATGGATCTGTGGGCATTGTGTATCTACATTGGGGGTGGATTTACCAAAATGCATTGTATGTTGTTAGGTATCTATTACATATCATGTCTCTTAAAGGTGTACTATGTAATGTATGATCCTGTACTGGAAGGTGGTGAATGGAGTTGTTGGGTTGGTAGCCTACTGACTTGTGAAATTAGCCTCAGTGATCAGGAATGTGAATGTTTGCTGGAGTTGTTGTCAAATAGTAGAGAACAGTTCAGACTGACAATTTATTCTGGACAGAATTTGAATCGGCCAAAAAGCCATTGTAAGCCTATCTGTGATTCACATTAAATGGCAATTGTTTGGGAATGTGGACTGGCTGGAGGATATTAGGCTGTGATAGGATTTCCTAGAAAGTATCCTACTCCAGAACACATATGTCCTTCCTCCAAAATGGAAAAGTTGGATTCAAGATTCTCAAGTGCTCATTTCCTTCTAAACCCTTCTTTATTGAGTTTCTGGTATCCCAGGAACTGGGCTGGTTGACTGTGGAAATAAGGAACCAAGAAGTTAAGCAAAGTCCAGTTCTGAGATATGATTTCTCACTAGATTTATTTTAAAGAATACCCCTACTGCCTGAGGTGTATGTTTAAAAAGGATTTGAGCTACATGTCTAGCCAGCTTCAGGCTAGATCATTCTTTGAGCTTATATTCTCAATGGAAGCATTGTAGTCTCTGGGAGCCTTTCTGGATAAGCATTCCATCCAATTCCCCTTGACATATTTGACAGATAACAAAGAATATATCTGCCTTAACATAAACAGGGAGATAAACTGAGGGCACTGCTCTAGGGCTGTGGAGACATGGCTCTTCAGCTGGGCAGTTGTATCTTTGGACCTTCCTGCCAGAACATAGCCCTTGAAAACAAAGAAATACTTCAGTGACTTCTTACTGTTTTAATACCAGTGGCTGTGTGAGAGCAAAAGGCTCAAAGCTCCACTTCCAGTGTCTATCTTCTGCTACAGCTGCTGTCCTTGGGAGGGGATGTGATAGAACTCCTTGTTGTCCCCAGGGCAGGACTGAGGGCAGACTGAAGCTGCAAAAACTGGTCATAAGGATGAGAATTGGATAAGGAACTTGACAAGGATGGGCCAGTGTAGAAAAGATTGGGATGAAGAGGCAGAGCTGGAGCATATTGGTTAACTTTGATTGCCACTCACAGTGGTGCTTTTTTCCTTTATCCTTGAATTCTGCTTTGAAGAATAAATTTGTATTTGGTTACTTTGGTTCTTTTGGTTATTCTGATCTGATATTTTATACAATTTTCTTCTTTGGGGGTGGGAAGAAAGGTTGAATCAAGAAGCGACAGGAACACTGAAAAAACATAAGGCACCAGATTGATTAAGAGCAACACCTATGGTATTAAAAAGACATCCTCTTTGGTCCCATGTGCCACTGTTGCTTGGATAGGTAGATCTTCCCCCAAATTAGCTAGTTTTCACCTCACAGAATGAATTCTAGAGAGTCATGGTTCCTACATTGCATCCTTACTAATCTGAATTTTCCCATCAGCTGAATCAATATAAGAAAAATCAGGACATTCCAGTGAGTTTTCATAAAGTTGTATTTATTGAATAAAGATCTATTCTTTTTAAATTTTATTTTATTGTAAAGATACTGTACAGAGGGGTTACAGTTACATGAGTAAGGTAATGACTACATTTCTTGTTGAGCATTGTTTACCCCCTCCTTTGTTGTCCTCCCACTAAAGATCTATTCTTTATTCTGAGATTTTGGCTATATATGTATTTGTTGTTAAAATGTCCCTATGAATTGATGATATGTGATATCTCTTTTTTTTCTAATTCTGAGCTTGAGCTCAGTTCCTGGGCAGTCTACGGATAGAGCCATACATAGCTCTATTTCTGACTTTTTGGTGGTTAATGGGAAATAAGAGGTCTCACAGACTTTCCTGCCTGGGATGGCTTCAAACTGTGATCCTCAGATCTCAGCCTCTTGAATAACTAGGATTACCAGCACAGCCACTGGTTCTGGTGCCCCGCTTTAAAAAAAAATATTAGACTATACTAATTATACAAGAGATTCACTGTGATCGTTCCATAGTACATGATGTCCATAGTATATGATAGTCGATAATACATGACGTACCTTGATAAATTCACTCTTCTTCCTTATTTTCATCCACAACAATCTTTTATTATAGGTTTTAGTGGATTCATTATGCTATTTCCATATTCATATAACTTCAATTCCTCCACCGCCCTTTACTTTTCCAAGTCCCCATCCCACTAGTTCTTCCCAACAGTCCTCCTATTATATTTAATTATTATTATTAAGGTCTATATTCTAGATGAAAAACATGATCCCAACACTCTATATGCATTTATGAAAATTGATTTGCATTTTCTTTATGGCTGAGAAAGTTGAATATTTCTTTATATGTTTTGGCCATTTGCTCTTCTCTTAAGAACCAGCTGCTTAATTCATTTGCCTACTTATTAATTGGATTATTTATTATTTTGTGTTTAATTTTTTAGCTCTTTCTATATTCTGGATATTAATCCTTTATGAGATGAATGATTTGCAAAGATTTTCATTCCATTCTGTAGGTGGTCTCGATTCTGGTAAGTATTTTTTTGCTGTACAGAAGCTTCTTTTTTGTCAGTTGTGGAGCTTGAACAGGACACTGTCCTTGACCTCTTTTGCTCAAGGCTAGTGTTCTATCACTGTAAGCCAGAGATCCACTTCCAGTGTTCTGGTGGTTAATGGAGATAAGAGTCTCATGGACTTTCCTGCCCGGGTGGCTTAGAACCATGATCTCATCCTCCTGAGTAGCTAGGATTACAGGCATGCGCTACCAGCGCCAGACTCAGAAGCTTTAAAAAAAACATTTTTGGGGGGCTGGAAAGGTGGGTCAGTGGCAGAGCACTTGCCTTGCATGCTCGAGGCCCTGGGTTCGATTCCTCAGCACCACATAAGCAAAAAGAAAAAAGCCGGAAGTGGTGCTGTGGCTCAAGTGGTAG